CCTGGTCCCCGAGCGTGCAGACAGGGCCCCAAGACCTGTCCTCGTCTTTATCGACACCCCATGTGGGTGGCCCGGCGCAGGTGCACCAGCCGCTGGTCGCAGCGTCCCTGTCCTGCCGCGGGGAGGGCTGCAGTCCCTCGGTGCCCTCCGCCTGGACGCACGCCAGAGCCATCTGAGGGGACCCAGGTTCCCATGCTTGCTGCACCCCACACCTACCACGTCAGACCCGGGGCTCCCTGTGTGGTGGCGTTTCTAAAGTCACCTGATTCTCACGTGCAGCCAAGGGCGGGCCACGTCCGCTGGTGGCGCGTGGCCACTTTCCGGCAGGCGCAGATTCCGGTCCTCTGACCGGGGCGTGCAGCCTGGGAGTGCCACTTGTCATGATGAGACTTGGTCACTGGCCGCACTCGGAGCCACCATGGCATCCGCCAGACCAGTGACACAGAGCCAGTGACACAGATCCCGCGTGCTTCCCGGGAGAGGGCAGCTCCTTCCACCCGGCGGCGGCCGCCGCGGTGCACGCGGAGCCGCGGGGTAAGTTGCCGCAGCAGCGGGAGCCTGTGCGCTTGAGGTTCTGCTGCGTGAGCGCCGCTCGCCCCACGTCAGTCCGGGGTGCCTGGACTGGGCGGCGCACGGCGAGGGTGAGTGCGGGCTGCCTGCCTCTCGGCGCTTCGCGGCGTGCTGGTGTCTGTAGCAGAGGCGGCAGAGGGGCTGCCACGTCCTCCCGCTCCCCCCTGGCAAACATGCTTAACGAGCGTCGCAGCGCGCCACGAATGCGTTTGTACCGAAGGCTCGGGGAGCTCTGCAACCTTCCGTAATTCAGTCTGAGTAGCTGCGCGTCTTCCTAAGCTACGTTAGTTATTCTTTGCTTTCATACGGTTAATTTGCATAGTGAATAAAATTTAGTATTTCTTTAATGTATCAAATCCTTGCATGTATCAATTCTTAATGTGCAGGAGCAATGGTATAAGCGGAAAAGAGGAAGTGGTTTGGTGTATAATAGAAAACAATTATTTTGGTTTTATTTTGTAATAATAACTTGCCAGTTTCCGGTTGTTATGATTTCATTCGTTTGGTTGCAAATGAAGGGTCAAAGGAAACCGAGTCCGCGGCCTCAAGGGCTCTGCTGGCATTTGCAGCCCCCCGACGGGCTCTGTCTTGTGTCTGCCGTGCTTCCGTGCGGCCCGACCCCCTGCGCCCGTTGCTCCTGTGGGGCTGTGGCCGCCGTGGCGACAGCAGCGTGGGTCTTCGGGGCTGTCACGCCCGTGGCGGTTGGAGCCAGACCTACCTGGGTCTGTGCTCGGCTCCTCCGCGCGGGGCGCGTGACGGGGACACGTTTCTCTCGTGCGTCGGTCCCCTCGGGGGCAGAGAGGAGGTGAAGGTTTCGGCCCTGCTGGCCTCTGGGCTGTCAGGGAGATCAGCTGGGAACTCTGAATCGGTGAACAAATGTGTTAATTACTGGCATTAATTCTCACTTGCCCCCAAAAACACCTGTCATCAGAAACTGAGGCAGAGCCGCGGCGTTCGGCTGGCCCACAAGAAAACAAGACTCTAGGACAAAAACTTTACATGAGCTTTTCGGGAAACTGAGAAAAAGGGGAAAGAGCCTTTTGCCACCGTTTGCTGAGAAGAAAACCGTCGCCCCTTTTCCTTTCTCTGGGTTCATCTGACAGATTTCTGAGCCGTCAGGGAAAGTGCCCGCTAGGGACGAGGGGCCTGGGGTTCCTGACGGCACGTGAGCTGAGAAGGGCCACCCTGTGCCTGGGCATCAGGCAGCGGTCACCACAGGGTGACTGCAGTCCACTCTGCCTCCATTGATTCAGCTACCGGTGCTTCTCCAGATACGCACGCGCTGCTTTCCCTGTTCCTCTGTCCATGCATCTGTCTGCCTGTCTGTACATTCATCCATCCATCCATGTATAAATCCATCTGTCCATCCATCTATCTATCCATCCATCTGTCCAGTCAGCCATCCATCCACCCACTCACCCACTCATCCATCCATAAATCCATCTGTCCACCCACCCATGCATCCATCCATCCATCCATCCATCCATCCATCCATCCATCCATCCATAAATCCGTCTGTGTGTGTATCCATCCATCCATCTACCCACCTATCTATCTGTCCATTCGTCTATCTACCTGCCTGTCTGTCATCTGTCTGTCTGTCTGTCTGTTCTTTCCCTCTTGGTAACCAGTTTCAAGGAAGAGAACATGATGAATAGAAGACGGGGAGAGACGTGCTCATTGGCAGTGAAGCCCATTCTGCCTGGAGCAGTTAGTGTGAGCTTTACCCAAATGGCAAGTGTTAAGCTTGATCATGAAGCTTGAGTAGAAATTATGAGAAGGCAGGAAGGCCGTGGGCTGGTGAGGTTGCACTTGCAACATGTGAAAAGCGTGACAGGGATGGCTGTGGAAATGGCGAAGCGATGGCTTTGCGTCATCTGCCATGCTCAGGAGTTTGAGGCACCCTCCTGTCGGACAGGGGACCCCAACCCCTGGGCCATGGACCAGTAGCATCCACGGCCTGTTAGGAACCGGGCTGCACAGCAGGAGGTGAGCAGCGGGCAAGGGAAGCTCCATCTGCGTTTGCAGCCGCTCCCCAGCGCCGGCATCTCCGCCTCGGCTCCGCCTCAGGTCCTCAGGCGTTAGATGCTCACAGGAGCGGGGTCCCCGGGGCCACACAGGGTGGGGACCGCTGCTCTGGGGCATGGAGGTCCATGCGCAGGAAACGATGATGGAGGGAAGGCGAGAAAGAGCGGAGGACGCGGAAATGCGCGTCGGGCCCGCCCCGCCCCGCCCCCCCGGAAGCCCCCGCCCAGCCAGCTTTATGGGAAAAACGAAAGAGGAATATTTTGTGACATGTAAAACTTATGTGAAATGTGCATGTCTGTGTCCACAAGTAATGTCATCGGCCCTCGGCCACGCACACGGCTGCGGCGGTGGCCGCGCTCACACGGAGCTGAGCAGCCGTGGTGGGGCCTGCATGGCCCGCGAAACCTGAGCCGCTGCCCACCCTGGGCCAAGAAGCCTGTGCTTGTATCTGTGGTCACTTTGTCACGACCCTCAGGGTTTGTTTACAACCCGTAAGTGGCCAGCCCCCCAAACAGGCTCCCTCTTGTGACGGTCCCCCTGGGACGGTTCCAGCTTCTCAGTTCTGAGCTGAGGACGCTCCGATGGACTTCGAACTCCCTTTACTTCGTCCCGCACACTCAGTGCCCCTCCGATGTGCCCAAACCCCCTGTCACCTGCCCTCGCCCTCAAGCAGGCCTCACTGGGGGGCGCCGTCTCGCGGGACGGCCTCGGGCGGCCTTTCCGGGCTGGCCTGGCCCAGCTCCCCCCACGCCGCCCTGTGGCTGGGCCTCACCCTCCAGCCCCGGCCAGGGCAAGTCCTCGCGGCGTCCTCCTCCCTCCTCTCCCGCCCCGCGGCCCTGCCTCTGGCCAGCCGCCTGCACTCGGCGGCCCGACCCTTCGCAGAGCCGCCCGCGTCCAGCGCGACTCCACACGGGCCCACGGGCAGCGCCGGGCCTCCTCCTGGCGACCCCACGCACTCGTCCCCACTGCACTGTGAGCACCTGGGGGAGGGGGACCTCGCCTTCAGAGCCACAGCCCGCGGCTCCATGCCCGGCCCGGCAGACGGCACGGCAGGGAGTGCTGACCGAGGGCCCAGACGCAAAGCCAGGAATCACAGTTGCGCTTGATCCGCCCAGCCACGTGAGTCACTGCGCCTTGCGGACACTGTCTCGCAGGACAGCCTCGCGGGAAGCTAGCTCCCCTCCTCCATTTTGGACTCTGCGCCCACACTTTGGTTTGCTTGTCACAAAGCATGAGGGGGGCCACGCAGAGGGCCAGTGGCCGGCGGGGCACACGGAGGCCCGCGCCTAGCGGGCTTCCGGGCTACCAGGTCCATGCCGGGTCGTCCCCAGCGGGCGTGTCCCCGGACTCTCCTCCCTGTGGTCGGTTTTCATGGACATTCGGAATGCGAGGCCTCAGCCGTCCATGCCATGCAGGACGGTGCGTGTGAGGGGCCGTTTCCAGCGGCCGAGACAGCGTGTTGCTAAGGCCCCTGCAGGCACTGGGGTCCGAGGAGGTGCTGGAGGAGGCATCTCGTTTGCTCTGTTTCACTCATGTCTAACGTACGAGGCCCCCGTGGCTCACCTTCCTCCGGCAAGAGCGGGCAGATTCCCTGAAGAGCTGGTCCTCGGGGGTGTCTCCCTGGGGTGCCGGCGGCGGCCCCCTCTCTCCTAGCCCCCAGGGAGACACTGGCCCCTGGACGGACCGTAATAAATGCTCGTCCACTGACTGGGAAACAATTTGATTGGAAATAGCTTTGTTTGCCAAAAGAAACAGAGTGCGTTTGCCATGGTTAAAGTGCTCCCGTCCGACAAAGTGGGGGCCCCCTCGGCGAGACGGAGGGGACAAGGCCATGCAGGGCACGAGCGCATCTCCATCCCACACCCCGCAGCTCTGCAACACCCCCTATCAGCACAGTGACCCCAAGATCCCCGAGTGAGGCCATGGAGCGCTGACAGGGTTTTGTCGATGTTTTACAAACAGGCGATAATTCTTAGGGCCAGTTCCTCGTCACCCAAAAGCATTGAAGTAGAGACTCTTATTTTCATCTTGAACAAAAGAGGAAATGGCCGAGGACATTTAGTGAAAGAGTCTGTCTCACCTGATCGTCATCCTACTGTGTGCTGCTCCTGGGTCATGAGAGCCGACAGGCCCGTAGCAGTTGTCTGGGCGTCATCCAGAGAAGTGGAATTTTTTCATTTAAACGTCTGGGGAAGTAGATCCATTTTATCAGAGTTTGGTGCAGTCTGTTGCATAGACGTGTGGTTTACTGTCTTTTAGAAATTGAAATTCACTGATTTCAAAACAAAATTGTTATTTTTCTTATTTATGTGAACCATATTTTTTTTCTGAACCAGTGGCCAGCCCTCACTGGGAAGAAAAAAAAAAACCTCACAAGTTTAATTCCATTTCTCCCAGAACTGTTATGTCTTAGTTTTCTGACGGAAATTGAGGTGTCTGGAGCTGCAAGTTGGCGTTACTGTCCCGGTGTGGTTTGTGGGACCCACAGGGCGGTCCCGAGGGTGCCCTCTGTGGGGAGGGACTCATGGGCCCTCCAGACTGTTCCCTCAGCCCCCCGTCCCTGTGTTCAGCCTGGGACCAGCGCCACCCCCGGGCCGTCTGCAGCGAAGCAGGGTGCATGCACGGGGGTCAGAGGATGGAGGCCCATAGCCAACATGCCACCAGTGTGGAGCTTGGTCCTTGTGGCCACACCAGCCCAGATGAGCAGGACAGAAGTGGCTTGCCCGCAAGTCCCTGCTCATGCTCAGATCTCAAAGGTGTGGCAGTGACTCTGGTTCGAGCAGGCGAACCTGGCTCAGAAGGGCTACCTGATTGTGTGGTGGCTTTGTGGCTTCTGTCAGGGGCAGTGACGAGGCTGGGTGGCCAACCGTGTCACCATGTGGCCTGGTAGCAGTGACGAACCTCACCCGTGTCTTCCACGCAAAGCCAGGGTTACTGGTGACGAGGCTGGCGTCCCTGCTGCAGCCACGTCTGCCCGGGGTGCTCTGGGTGGTTTGCTGGCATAGTCACTAAGGCAGCCGTGGCCGTCAACACAGCCACATGCACGGGACAGCACTGTGCAGGCCCCCCAGGCCTTGCAAGCTCCGCTGCAGCCCTACTGAGCACGCTGGGGACACCCTGAGGACAGGGCAGGCCTCGGGGTCCCTCTCTGCTTTCAGGGAAGGATAACTGTGGTTCCTCCACGGTGTTGTGGGGGCCGGAAGCTCGAACACGCAGCCTTTCCACGTCCCACTGCCCCGGGTGGGAAACCCCTGGGCCTGCTTGGGGGAGGAGGCGCGAGGCAGGAGATGCTGACGGGCTGCCCCGGCCCCCCCCCCCACCGCTCGCCTTCCAGTAACCCTCACTCCCAGGGTTCAGGGCGAGGGGCCTGACGCCTGTGACTGCAGTGGCCCTGGCAGTCAGGGACGATGGCCACCCTCCTCAGCCATCCAGCGGACGTTTCCCTACCCGTGTGCCGGAGGAGACTTTAAGGGGCTGTGAAAGCAAGGCTCGCCCCTCTGCCCCGTGCTGTCGGCGAGCTGGCATCGGGACAGTCCTGCCGCCGAGCTCGAGCGGGGGACGGGCCGGTGTGTAGCACACACAGGTGTCCACACTGCTAGGCGGCCGCTCTGCCAGGCCGCCGTCTGCCTCGGGCTTGTCTCAGCCCACAGGTGTCTTCCCCCGGCCGCCGCCCGTCACCCTCATGGCTCTCTGCTAGGTCGCAGAGTAGGGTCACTGACCTTGAGGACGGGGAGTTTTGGTCTCACTGTCCGGTCTGCACACCCAGCCGAATGCCACTTCCCAGAGAGCAGGCTGCCATGGCCTCATAGGTGGCCCAGGGCCTGTGCAGCCGGGTCACCCGCACACAGGACAGTGAGCCGAATCCCCCCTTCCCTGCTGGAAGGAGCAGCCAGTCTCTCAAGGGCTGAGCGGTCTGCGGGGTCCCCGTCACCCAGGGAGCTAGCGAGCAGTGCTGGGGGGGGCTCCCGCCCCAGGCCCTGACCAGGCTGGTCGGCCGAGTCCTAGCCGGGCGTGCGCCTGCGAATGTCACGGGCTGGGCCGCGTGCCGGAG